AAAAAAATGATTTAAAATAAAACATTCTTATGATATAAATATATATTTACCAGCATAATGAATTGAACGTCCAAATTTGGTGTTCCACCTCCGTTCTATAATCTCGATCACTTTGCTAGCAAAACTACACTTCTTCCCAATAACTGATTTCGCTCTTTCGATACCTTCATAAAGGATTCTCATGGTAGCTTTCTTATCAGCATCTACCATTCTTAATACCGTGACCAAAGGGGCAGTGGCTTCTACGACACTGGAACATCGAGACCAGAACCTCCTATTTGAGACTATGCCGTCCACTTTTATACCGGTACTGGACTTCGAGAGGCAGTCATTAACCACTCTTCACAAGTAAACAATCTCTTTAAGGCACCTTCAGATTCTCGAATGGAGTCTACAACTAAGTAATTGGTCACAAAGCAGGTTATGGCAAGCCTGATTATCTCTTTTTTCTTAAAGTGTTCTCTAAACAGAAATAATATTTTAGAGTGGTTGTATATAAATCTCGACACCAACCTTGCTTCCTCTAGAGTTTCCTTCACAATTTTGATCTCACCGATCTTCTCTAACATAAGATTGATGCTGTGTGCAGCACATGGGGTCCATACTAAATGTTTCCTCTTCTCCATCAACTTGTTGCCTGCAAAAACACATGCACGCGCATTGCCCGTAATAAACTGGACTACATGCTTATCTCCTACCTCTTCCATTATCTGATCATATAGTCGTACGTAGAAGTTTGCATCCTTCTTCGTTCTTGATACGTCTTTGCTAGACAAAAGCTGTACCTTTTGGGGAATAGGCTAAGAAGTTTAAAAACTTTTTTTTGCTAACTTTATTCAACCAACCATCACTCATGAGAGTAATGCCTATATTTGGCCAACTCTGTTTATATTCTTCAATCCACTTTGTAACTTCCTTCACCTCTTCATCTAATATTGGCTCACTGAGTTCATATGCCGCCGAGGGCTTTACCCTGGGCCCGACTCTTTGGATTGCACTGACCATAGGTGAAAAATATGGGCTATTGGGCATCAAAGGGAATCCCTTTATCGTCGAACCATTTACCAACATATTTCCCCAACATGTTTCTTGTACCTTTAACCATGCCTTTTAGAGTCATCTGTTGTGACTTAGGCTTTGAGAGAAATGGGTCTATACAACCATGACCTTCAATACTGGCACTCCTAGATAAGTTAGGAACTATTTCTTCAACGTTTAATTCTTGTTGATACATACTGCCACCAACCCCTCCATATATATTTGAGCTAGGCCTGCCATACATGCTCGACCTAGGCCCGCCATGCATGTCTAAGCTGGGCCCGCCATACATGTCTGAGCTAGACCCATCATGCATGTCTGAGCTAGGCCCACCGAGCATTCTGAACCCACGTTCCCTCTGATAATGTTTATGTAAACTCATTCTTGTGGCCATGTCCAGCTTATTATTATATTGCTCTTCTGTATCATTCCTAATTGATGGCGTATATAAACTAACTATCTCATCATTCATCCTATGTTTGGCAATTTTTTTACCTTTGTTAGCATTAAGAAATACCGCCATCTATTTTTTTACATTACTAGGAACACTACTGCATGCAAAAACATCTCCCTTAACCCCTGCCAAGTGTTGCTGGAACCTATGTACCCCACTACTTATCACTCTTTAGCAGTAATTACAAATAATTTTATCTTTTTTGTTGGGATCAAATCTAACCCCATGTTGCCATGCAGGGTCTTCTGCAGATCTTGACATAATTCAACTGTTTTAATATGTAAAAAGTTAAAAATTAACCTGACAGTTCAACAAGAAAAATAATCACCATGTGTAATGATAATATGTTGGGGTAGTTCATGTAGTTATATTTGTTGTTATTTGTTATTGCAAAATACTTATATTGACAATATTATTTTTGTACAAATCAATTACAAACATACATGATAATATAATACAAAATGCAAGCTCCAAACATGGCTACAACTCAATTATCAAGAACAAATATTTTTTGCATTAAAAAATTAATAATAAAATTGAAAAAATGCAATCACAATTTTTTTACAATGATATTCACTTTAATTCCTCACGATAATACAATTTAACATCACGTATTTTTTGCTTTCAAAATTTTAAAAATTGGAAATACATTTTAAATGCAAAACTACATTAAAAATATAATACAGTTTTGTATTAGAATTTAGAAATATAATAACATGCCATAAATATTCTATCAACATACAATTTTTTTAACAAAAACTTTAAAAATAAAAATTAAAAATATGGTTTAATACCTCATGATAATCAAAACCTGGTCACTATTTTTCACATCTTTTCGAAAATCACGATTTAAAAAAAAAAATCGATCATGTACTTAAAAAAAAAAAACAATTCTTCACAAAGCCACCTAACATAAGTCATTCCAACTCAAAAATGCATTAACAACAAATTAAAAAAATACAGTTTTGCATTAAAAATATAATAACATGCATTTTTTTACATAAATAATCTATCAACATACAATTTTTTCAACATAAACTTTAACAATAAAAATTTAAAATATGGTTTAATACCTCATGATAATCAAAACCTTGACACGATTATCACATCTTTTCGGAAAATCTTCATTTTTCAAAAAATTCGATCATGGATAAAAAAAAAAAGTACAACAAATTTTCAAGAAATTCGATCATGAGTTACAAAAAAAAAATTCGATCATGGATTACAAAAAAAAAACCACAAATTTTCAAAAAATTCGATCATGGATTACAAAAAACTCGCTCATGTACAACAAAAAATTCGATCATGGATTATGGATTATAAAAAATTCGATCATGGGTTACAAAAAATTCGATCAGAGATTATGGATTACAAGAAATTCGATTATGGATTACAAAAAATTCGATCATGGATTACAAATCATGGATTACAAAAAATTCGATCATGGATTACAAAAAATTCGATCATGAATTACAAAATAAAAAAAAAAATCCAATAAATTCGATCATGGATTACAATAAATAAATAAATAAATAATTTTAAAAAAAATTCGACCATGGATTACAAAAAAAAAACAATTTGATCATGGATTACAAAAAATTCGATCATGGATTACCAAAAAAAAAAAAATCTATTCTTCACAGAGCCACCTTACATCAGCCATTTTAACTCAAAAATCCACCTCCAAGCGAATAAATTACATCCAATTGAGTACAATTTTTGATAAACAACAATATAAGGAATTAAAACCCTAAATTATAAACACATTATCATCAATAAATCAAATCAAATCGATTAAATTGAGCAAAAAAAAAAAAAACGTTGTTCTTCAACAACAACAGTCATAGAATCTAAAAAATGAAGCTCAAATTGAATAAATAAAATCAAATTGAATACATCTGATTATAAACAAAACTATAACGATTAAAAACCCTAGAAATCTAACACATTATTTGTAATATATCGTGAACAAAAAATTGAAAGGCGGAAAAAAAAAAAAAAACAACAAATTTTTTTTTACAAACATCACTGTGTTCATCTAAAAAATTAGGTTGTAATTGAACAAATTAAATAAACTTGAATATGTTAAATGATAAAAGACACAATAAAGATTAAAAACCCTACAAATGTAACTCATTATTTTCAAAATATGCAATGAAATTGATCATATGGCGAAAAAAAAAAAAAAACCCAAAGTTTCTTACTTGGTTTCGTGAACCCAAGCCTTCAATCTCCAAATTACTCTGTTTTTCTCAACGATTATCACAAATTCGTAACAGAATTTTTTGATGAACAACTTTACGATCAAAATGCTGACAAATTTTCACAGATTCATGCCCTATTTGGCATAAAACACAAGGAAAGACGAAAACCCTAAAAACACAACTTTCATGATCCAAAAACACGAAATTTCTCCACCATTTAATCCATGAAAAGGCTGAAAAAAGCTACATAAAGCCTGCATATTCGATCACATGGCAAAAAAATGACAAATGTGGAAAAATCCCGTGAAGAACACTGTGCAACCCGTGTTCTTCACAGGACTCGCCAATTCCGTACAGTAAATCGGCGAGTCACTGTACAGAATCGCTCGGTTCTCTTTGGAACGGTGCGATTCCGTATAATTTGCCGGAATCGACACGTCCAATGCCAATTCTCGAGTCGAACCGAGCGAGACCGGTTCGACTCGACGTTTTTTAAATCACTGATATAAACTGATTTGGAATAAGAAAAAAGAAAAAGAAAAGATAATAAACTTTTCATTAACCCATATATATATTGAATTTAGCAAATCCACAATTTATAAACAAATGAGCCAAACAAGAAATTGGTATATTCCGGATTCCGATCAGGCTCTCTTCAAACAACAATTTAGCCAATATCCGAGTTCACGAATTCATATTGAAGATATAAATCCAAAAACAGGATTTCTATTTCCATGGAGGCATTCATGCATTAAAGCACTTAAAAACCAAGTTGAGATAAAATGCATATAAATAACTTCTAATTTGACCAACTTAATCATCCCAACAAAAATTAGGTAATACAAAGCCATCTAGAAACTACAAAAAAAACCTAGAATTTGGCAAAGTTTCACAATGCCTTGAGGAAGAGGTTTATATTCTCCAAAATTCTACATATGACTGTCAGAATCAACAGGCCAGTTTTTGCCAAAGGCTTTTGCAATTGAGTGTTCATGGTAACCTTGTCCCCAAGCCCTATTTTATAATAGAAAATAGACAATATAGATCTTCTCTCCTCTATTGCAACCATTGTATGCTATGTTATTTGCAATGATGTGTTGAGAGTCATAGAGCAAGAGATAAACCCCTGGCCAATGAAGTCTTTGTGATCCTTATAATTTTATTGCACATCGATGACACAAAAGAGGACAAATGGAAGGAAATAATGCCAATGAAAAGCATATAGATGCATCCCCCTTTGTATTGAAGGATTTATGACCTAAACACATTATCAAATCACCTCATATCCATTTCTCCCTCAAATCTATGTATTTGAAGTTCCAAAGATGGTGTAAACCTGCTGACAATCCTTAAATATTGGCAATGGAAGGTCGAAAAAAGATTACAAATAGGCCATTATTAAGGCTCGAAATTCAACTTTCCTCTTATCTACATATGACGACAATATCGGTCCAGAATTCATCTCAAAGATGGATTTGGAAGGTGCACCCACTAAACTAGGTGTGTGTCTAAATGCACCTAAAAACCCTATCCTATAATAAAATTGTCTACCTTTGGTAAAAAAAATATAACAATCACTCTTTTAGCCATCGGATTACAAATAGGATGGCAAGGACATGTGCCCCTCTTCAAAGAAAAAGAATTTTTACCTCAGCCTTTACACAAAGAACAGACACATCCCCAAACTGTCTGATTTCACATTCGACGCCTAGGGGTGATTGTGAATTTTCCGTACCAAAGGTGAGCCATCATATAGCCTACAATCCCCAAGGCTATTGCATATTAAAAAAACCATAAGAAAACGAAAGGACATGATAATCTGCCAAAATAAATCAATAAGACCCTCGTCTTAAATAATTGATATTGACAAGTTAAGGGTGATTTTAGATGATTTTATAAAGGGCACAGTTTATATAATGCAACAACCTTACTTCTACAACCTTACTTGTAGAAGTATGATTGTGATCTTCGACGCCACTGCCCATTTAATTGGACTGCACAGATTGAGCATGCTCGGACTTCATTTTCAGAAATATCCAGTCTCTCTCTCTCTTTCTCTCTCTCTCTCTCTGCTAGAGATACATTAGCTTTTCCCAGCTCCAAATATCCACAATTGAATTATCAGAAAGTTATCATGCACAAAGCCTGCTAAAGAAGAGTACCTTATGCATAATACCTGTCAATATCCAAGCCGAAACCCCAGCCCTAGAAGTTACTCCCAACCCTTAAAAGTTACTGCTACCCACCCACCCACCCACCCACACACACACACACACACAACCAAAACCCAAATAACGCCCATGCACCCTGAGCAACAAAATATGTTCCTCTCAGAAGGGACAGAATTAGGGAATGGAGAGGGCCATCATAAAGGCATTTTCTCAGAAAGAGAGTGAGAGATTCTAACCTCATCATGCCCCTGTAACATTCTTCCCGCCAGCCTTCTTGACCTGCGCAGCATGCCTCTTCCCCTCAAGGTGAAACTTGAACACTGTCTCACTATTGCATACTGTGCCACAGAGTGTGCACACCCTCACCGCGTCTGCCGCTGCTCCCCCATCCAAAACCTTCTTCTTCTTTGTCTCGACATCCTCCAAAATCGCCGCCTTCTTCTTCCTCTTCTTCTCTGCATTCTGAGACTCGACCTTTGGTGCCGGTATTTCAGGTGTTTTCACCGTCGGATTCTTAGGACCCACTTGTGGGGTTGGTTCCACTTTCTCTTTTGGGGCCTTTTCAGGTGCTTTGTTTGCATTGTTTGCCATTTCCTCAAGTTGCTTGAGCTTGTTTTGGTGTTTCCTTCCACTTTTGTGCTTATCAAGCACATCCTTACTGTTACAGTCGATCTTGCAGACAGCACACCAAGCTGATTGGACCACCTTTGTTTTCTTCATTTTCTTGGGGAATCCTCTGCCGTTGATGACGGAACTAGGCCGGTTCCATGCCAGAGGGTTGAAGTTTGGCCCATTTGAGGGTCTCATAGCCTGCAAAAGCAAAGCCAGATCTCATAAGTCTCCTTCTCTTTTTATTGGTTTTTCCCTGTATTTTATCCAATTGAGGGAAACCAAATGCCAGGACATAAGCTGAGCAACCTTAGAGCCCCTGAGCCTTACAGCCAGCTCTCTCTCTCTTTCTCTCTCTCTCTCTCTCTCTCTGATTTTGCATAACTACATACACTAGATAAGCAGACCTTCCATCCCCCCTCACAGTGAGCCCCCTTTGAAATCCAAATCCACCCATTTTAATATAGCTAAAGTCTTTTTTTTATAGTTTAATATAGCTAAAAGATTTATAGAAACCACCTTCTATTCCCCTTAAGCTGCAAACATACACCCCAACTCCCTTCAAAGATCTAGATCGTAGGAGCAAAAATAGCCTACAATGAGACAGAACTCGGTATGCTAAAAACAAAGAACCATGCCCCCTGCCTCACCTTTTAGGAAAAGGCTAAACCTCTTTGGCTTAGTGGTAAGGGCACACAGACCACAGAATTATCACAGGTTCTAGTCCTAGCTCGCCCACCCAACAAAGATGGCAGAAAAAGTGAATTTGTAGGACCCACAAAGGATTTCATAATTTAAAGACCTCACAAGAGAATTCATAATTTAGCAAGTCTAAAAACTCTCTATAAAAAATTCATCATCATCATCATCATCCGAGCTTATCCCAATTATTTAGGATTGGCTACACGAATCTTGTTTTCTCATTCTACTCTACCAAGAGTCATACCCTCAACCAGACCATAAATCACCGTATCACTTCTCAATACCATCCATATCCTTTTGGGCCTTCCCCTTGCTCTTTTAGAACCTTCCCCTTGAACCAAAATGCCCCTCCTAACTAGCGTCGTATTAAGTCTACGCTACAAATGGCCAGCCAACCAAAGTATACTTTCCCCATCTTATAGCATATTGGAGCCACCATTAAGTTCCCCCGGATGTATTCATTCCACATTTTATACTTTCTTGTTTTGCCACTCATCCATCTCAACATCCTTATCTCAGCTACACTCAACCTATGGACACATTATTTCTTGACCGCCCAACATTCCATCCCATAGAGCATGGCTAGTCTTACAACCATCCTATAAAACTTCCCTTTCAGTTTCATTAGTACGCGATGATCACATAAAACTCTGCATACACATCTCCATTTCACGCTCCCCAGCTTTATTCTTAAGCAGCACATCTTCCTCAATCTCCCCATTCTCCTGGATTGTCAACAAAAGATATCGAAAATAATCCCTTTTAGACGGCCTGATCTACAAGAGCCCAATCTAACATGACACCAGAAACAGTTAAAGATACAGATGCAGAAGTGGGTTAGGTGGACTTCTTAATGTGTTTTGATATTGCCTCTATGCAATATGTGAAACTTGATGAGGTAAAGGCAATGGGTATTAGAACTTAGAACAGAGAAGCCTAGCATTTAACTGATGGCTATATACATTTGAAGATTGGTTGAGTATCTTCAAAGAAAACGTTAGGGGCTTCTTCTCTGCATTGAAACTCTAAGGAATCAGTTTTTGGAATGCAATGATTAAGCAGATGATTACTAGTTTGGAAGGATACAGGATGCAGTATAGAGTGCTTTTCTTTGAGTATCGCAGAATAGATTTTACAAAGAGTTTCAATGGACATGAGAAAACCACGATAGGAGACTCCATTTGGGTGGCTATGAGACCCATGGCACTTAGGGATTAAGAACATTACTTTGGTAAAGAGAACCCTTCTCTTGAAATGTGTGTTGCATTGAAAGCATTTGGTAACCATAAGCAAGCTTTGGAGCAAAATGATAAGTATCAAAAAGGAAGTAAAACATGTTAGCAGTGGGATCTGTTTTGGAGACACTGATGGGAGAATATATAGATTTTGAATTGACAAATTGTTAAATGGATATCAGAATCTGGCTATATAAATTGAAGGCATTTGTTTATTGTTGGAGGTTAATTTGAATGCCTCACCATAGTAGAGATTTGGATGAAAGAGATTTAAGACTACAGAATTTCTTGGAACCCTGTCAAAAGTAATGTGAGGAATTGAGGTAGACGTGACAGGATAGTTTGGGAGCATAATCCACCGGGGAGCTTCTCTACTGTCACTTTAGTATCAATATGTATGAGGTACTTAAGGGAAGTCTAAGTATGAGTTTATCAGTAGAATGCACCCCTAAGATTAGAGACATCGATTTGATTAGTGTTCATTTTTCTATCAGTTGTCTGATTAGAGTATTTATTGGATTGGACAACCTTCAATATCAGGGTTTTCCTTTTCATAAGTAAATCCTCAATACAGGAGGCTTCTCAATAGCTATCATGTGTATGCTTTCCAAGTATAAACAAGAAGAATATGTTGATGACCTCCTCCTTGCTCTATATGCAATGTTAAGCATATCTAATGTGCTTGAATTATGCCTGAATTATCATTAGGTGTTGCAGGCCTTAACATGAACTAAAGGGTTCTGCTCTGTTTTTGTGGAATGATTTGGAGGACATGCAAAGAGTGCAATAACATGGCACCAGGGATGGCAAATGGGAACCGGGCTCTATTTGAAATCTTATAGACAGTGCTATATGGGCCGTCAAAGATCAAATATGGAAGGGATAAAGATTCAATATTTCCTTGAATCGTCGACAACAAGCACTCAAGAACTTATAACAAAAAAAGAATCATTCTAGAATTTCACCTAAGATCAGGACCATGCAATATGGCAAGCTCATACAAAAGGGATTTTTTTTCCTTTTGGTAAATCCAAAAAAAGGGGCTCTAAAATTTTAAGATTGATGAGTGCACAGGAGGAAATCCCAGATCAACAGGATTCAGAGGTATGATTTACAAAGCAGATATGGAGATCATTTAATAATTCACAGGACCCTTGGTAAGTGCAAACTCCGAATGGCTTGAGGCAAATTTTGTGTTATTCAGCCACTGTTCAACTACAGATTACCTTACACAGTGGAATCACATCATTCGGTGGTCCTCACCCTTGAACCCAAATGAGGTTTCGTCAAATTAAACTTTGATGGCAGCTGGAACTGGACCAGCAGAATAAGAGTTCTCTCAAGAACACAGATGGGTGAGAACCTCGGCACTTTCTCTGGCCCCACCAGAAAAACTAATGCCTCTTTTGCCAAATCAAGAGCTCTGCTCATTGGTATACAACACTTCAACAGAATTTGGGGCTCATCATCGTAATCTAAGGCAACCCTCGTAATGTTGCCATATCATGGGCAAGACATCCATCTCCTGCCCATGAAGGTTCTCTCTTTGAATAATTGTTCCACTTGTGCCACGACCACTCGTCTGCTTCAGACACCCATGGAAAGAAGCAAACCTTACAGACGGTCAACTGGCAAGACAAGAAGTGACGCGACCTCACTCCAAGCTACCCAGCAGCTGTTGACAATGTTTGTTAGAGCCTCATCCACACACAATTTTGCATAAAAATTTTGTGCTTAATACCCTATACATTACATCCTTTTTACTTGACCAAAGTGTACAAGTTTACACAACAAATACGAAAAGTTGTTTATCAAAAATAAAAAAAGGTATTGTTAAATATTAGAATAACTACTGAAGGTTAATTGTGAAGGGCCAACCACTATCAGGAATCCATGATGATATCAAATGGATTAAGAGTGTGTCAAGGGTACCATCAAGGGAGGATGGAGCATTCACAAAAGTTAAGGACCTTTTGGCTTCCTTGATGTAGGCTATGTACCAAGAGAGCCAAACTTAAAAAGAATAAAAAATATGGGTGAAATCAGGGACAGGCTGGGGATTAGAATCTACAATCGTCCAAGATATTTATCATCTGCTATTGTGCCAGCCAATAATTAAGCAAGTCATCTTTAGCCATCATAGGACTCAATCAATTTGGGGAGGAAACCAACAAACCGATAAGAGAGTTCTAGCATCTACCTTAATGAAGTCACACTAACATACTAGAATAAGGAGCCCTGCATATGTGATGTATCTCATCAAAAATTAGAATAAGGAGCCATGGTGGAGGGCTTATTCTGCTTGCCCAAGGGATGACGTTTTGTGAGTCACCTTCCACTATGAGGTGTAAGCCCCATGACAGATTGTAGTGTTTCAGGGCAATTAAAAGGGCCAAGGCTTCAGTGTGATGTGCGTCCTTTTGTCCAATGTGCTCAGATAGTGTAAGGAGGATAGTGCCTTCGTGGTCTCTAAAGACCCCTCCTGCCCCTGCTGGGCCCCGATTACCTAGGGAGCACCCATCAAAGTTTAACTTGATCATTCCCTCAGGCGGAGGTTGCCAGTTATTTGGCCTTGTAGTCAAGTACGGTCAATGATGGAGGAATTGTACCATTGGGAAAGGAAGAAACTCCCTGGGATGCCCGCAAAGACCTAGTGTTTTGAGGCCCAAAAAGTGACCAAAGAGATAGCCTTGTGGAAGATTGCCGAAGTTTGGAGTTTAGAGCCAAGAAAGATTTTTCAGTTTCTTTCCAACCAAACAGTCCAGATAGTTGCAGCTACAGTTGCCTTCCACAAGATTCACCCGGCCTTAGGCCAGCATGAATCAAATTCATAAGATATGAGGGCCTTGACCTAGGGAGGAGTGACCCATTTGATGCCAAATAATTGCAGGATACGACCCCAAAGGTCGTAGGAGAAGTCACAGAGGATAAAGAGGTGGAGATTTGTTTCCTCCTCACAGACACAGCGCACACCTATTAGGGATGAGGATCCCTCTTTTCTAGAGCTTATCCACTGTGAGTGCTTTGTGGGAGAAGGCTAGCCAATTGAAAGTCTGGACTTTAGGTGGAGCAATGTGGCCCACACTCTTGACTGTACCGAGTTAAGAGATCCCGAGAGAGTGGGTAGCAGAGTTAAGCTTTCGTAGAAAGAGGCGACAGAGAAGCTCCCTGAGGGGGCAAGAGTCCAGACTATAACATCGTTGCCTTGAGGCAGGAAGAAAAGAGAGTGTAGGGGTCACGAGAGAACTTGGAAGTGAATGGTTT